ATGATGATATATAAAGCCCATGATCGCCGTTTAAAAAAAAATGTTTGCTGAATGAAAGAAGAAAAGAAGAAACGTGCATTACGTCGGGCCAGATCCCACTAGGTAGCCCCTATTGTTCATTTCTGACCGTTGATCTTCGCAATCGAGGGTGAAAAATGAATAATCCAGGGTAGTGGGATCTCACCCTTAGTTTGTTGTTTTTTTTTTGTGGTTTTTGGATTGGATGATGGGGCGCTGTGGGCGGCGGCGGCGGCTTTGCTAAGGTCTTCGTCGTCGACTGAGCTCTGGACGGGATTGGCGGCGGATGCATCCAGGTCTTGCACACAAAGTACAGTCAGATACATTCACGAAAGTAATATACCGTGTGAGTACGCCCTGAGTGTGAGTGCGGCAGGGCGGGTTACCTGTCCCCTCCTGCTCATGGGCGACGAGAGGAGATGGGAGCAGCGGCGGCGGCTCCACCCCGGCGGTGCCGCGCACACATCCATCGGAAGGCATCAATCGGAAACGCTGAAGGAGGAGAAGAAAGGGTGCGGCGACGGGGGTCGGAGCGCAAGAGAGGGGCAGGCGCTCGGATGGGCGGTCAGACGGGCGGGCCGTCCGCCGGGCCGCGGGCCGCTCGTTGCAGAAGAAGAAGAAAGGCGCCAAGACAAGCGGAGTCCGCCGTAAGCCTTCGCCGCGCCAACCGGCTGAAATGAAATGAAATGGACCTTTCAAAACGAAAGGGGAAAAAACAAAAAAAACAGAAAAAAAACCTTTCGTAAAAAAAAGAAGAAGAAAACTTTCCGCCGCCGAGAACCGGCGTCCGACCGTGATTCGACGAAAATGTGGCGGGAATCGTCAAGAACTGTTGGACGCACACCACACGCGCCTCACCCAAATCCCCGGGATTTGTTCGAAAGCATCCGGCTCTTCGGCTGGCCACATACGTCCACGAAAAGTGGTGATTATTTGAGAAGCCGCTCGTAAAGCTCGGTCTCGATTTGCCACTGGGTAGGCTCACACACGAGAGAGTGGAACGAGCTCATGCATGCAGCCGGACTGTTCAATCAAATCGAACACACGCGACTCATCACCCAAAACCCCGGGGACTTGTTCGAACGCATTTGGCTCTTCGGCTGGCCACATGCGTCCACGGAAGCGGTTATTTAATCATTATTTGAGTTGCCGCTCGTAAAGCTCGGAGTCGATTTCCCGGGGCAAGGTCCCTCTTGCACGGATTAGGAGATTGCGGCCCTTGATCTTCGCTCTCGACGGTCATTATCGCATAACATAATCGTGCAAGTGGGACCTAGCCCCCGTTGGGTAGACTCAAGAGAGTGAAAAGAACTCATCAGTCAGAGACTGAGTTCGAGTAATAAGAAGTGACGACGGGCAGCGACTGTCGACCACGTGTGTCTGTGTGCGTTGTGTGGGTTTTCTACTGTGGGTATGGGTATTACCTGACAGGGAGAAGAATGACCGACCGTCACGGCTTGAAGTTCGTGTAGTAGTGTGGAAAACAGAGAGAGATGGCAGCCCGTGTGGCTGAATGGTTGGTACATGCATGTAACCGTTATAGCAAAGAGCGTACGGGCTCGACTCTCGTTGTCAAGCTGCTGGGAATCGGATGAGTATTATGGAAAAGAGTGTGAGTGTGGAAAAGAAAAACGGGAAAAAACAGAGTGGTACGTGAGGCAGGTGTGGGAAAGAAAAACGGGAAAAAACGGAGTGGTAGGTAGGGGAGGCGTAATGGCGGAGGTGCGGGGGGAGCACGTTGGCTCGGGCTCGTGCCGAGAGGGCCTCGGCGCATGGTCCGTTCCCAGCTTCGGGCCACTGTGACGCTTGGAGCAGGCAGGCGGGCGGGCGGGCGGGCGGGCGGGCGGGCGGGCGAGGTGGACGGGGACGAGCAGGTGCAGTCGCTGGCTGTACCGCGGGGTAGTGGGACTGCGCGTGATCGTTGGGTCGGTTCCCCCAGACGCACGATGTCCCATGATTGGTTCGGATAGGGTCCAGGTGAGCGCTGACGACTGTACTGTACTGTCCGCGCTGCGCCTTCTGGTTCAGTTGCCCGCCAGTTGGTTGGGGAAGAGGGCCACGGGAGGGGTCCTGTAGGTGCGCACGGGCGTTGCGGGTAAGGCCAGGGTCCGAGACCACATGCGTGTTGGGAGTTCCTGTTCGAAGGAATGTGGACGCATTTGCGTCCAGATGACCTGAATGACTGGGATTCGTGCGAACCTGCGAGGCGGGCGCCAGGCGGAACTTTTCTCTGGCACCGCGCCAGAACTGTCCCGGCCTCTGCCACTCTCTGCGTCGGTCACGTCCAGCGGTGCGCACCTGAGGCGAGCGGTCTTCACCTGGCCTGCTGCTGGTCCGGGCCCATCCCGGCAGGTCGTGGGGAAGCCGGCCGCGGCACGCCTGCGCGCGGGCCGGCTGGCGGGCTCGATAGGGCGCGATATCGAATCCGAACCGCCAAAAAAAGAGGTGGTGGTGTGGAGGCGGCGGTGGCGGTACAGTGGAGTCCACGTCATTGGCCTTCTCCCCTCCCGCGCTCCCGCGCTCACACTCACCGGCGCTCGCCGTTCCCCGCTCGCCGGTCTTTTGGTTACTGGTAGCAGCGGGCGGATCCCACTATGGCTGGCCAGCCAGGGGCTGCAGCTACCGGTAGGGCTCACTACGGCGGGTAGGGGGCAATCGGTCGCTCGTGCTCGTGCTCGTGCGCGTGCGCCACCGACCACTCGTCCTCGGAGTCGTCGAGGGGTCGCTCTTGCTCGCCGGCCGCGACCGCAGACGCGCGCCCCGCCAGTTACAGTACAGCGCAGTGCCCGAGCCTGCCCCTGTGCGAGAACTGCTACCGGTAGCCCTGCCCGGCAGCAGCCCAGCCGCGCAAGGCCTTTTTCATGTCGCGTCGTTACCCCACAATTCCCCCATCGGTCGGCCGTCACAGCGCCTCTCCCTTTCACCACAGAAGACTACTAACGCTTTTCGTTTTCGTGCCTTACTACTGCAAGTGGAATCTTCAGACACTCACAGAGGGACAGAACGACCGAGCACAAGTAAACAACAATCAAGCGAGCGCGCAGGTGAACGGCGCTCAGTGAGGGAGTGCGAGATAGGGCGACGCAGAGAGAGAGAGAGAGCGAGAGAGAGAGGGAGGGAGGGAGAGAGAGAGGGTCGTGCTGCTCCCGTCTGTCACGAACTTCGTTCCGTAGTCGCTTCTGTGCCACGATGTGGCATTATGGCTTCTGCGCGCTTTAATTACCTTGCAAAAGAGGCGGACTAGAAAGAAGAGAGAGAGGAGGAAGAAGGGAGTCGGTAGGCGGTAGAACTGATGATGTACATGGCCATCTGAGCCTGGGAGAGAGCGCAAACATCTTGGTGTCCACTGGTTACGCGTTTGTACTCTACATTCGATTTACGTACGGTGCGCTTTAATTGCGCAATGATTTACCCCCCCTAGTTCGAGGGGCTGGGCTTCCTCATCAATCAATCAATCGAGGTTTCAGGGAATATTTGTTGACTACTCGTGTCTGCAAATATTTGTCGACTACTCGTGTCTATTCTGTCCGCGCTTTGATTGGAACGAGAACTGAGCTTGAAGACAAAACTTTGTTGATCTCTCCTTTTGATTCCAACTGCCAATCGGTCACCTCATCTTGTAGGCTCTGTGTCCGTGACACGTCACCCTTGGCGCGCTGTGACACCGAGAACTCGAAACTTGCCTTTCCCTTTCTTCCGCCTTTGATAAGGGACGCAGGACGAGTTTTGCATACGTAAGCTACTCGCGAACGGCTGCGCAATCCGGAATACCTCACGACGAGAGAGAGAGAGAGAGAGAGAGAGAGAGAGAGAGAGAGAGAGAGAGAGAGAGAGAGAGATGACATGAACGACGTGGGGAAAAACGCGAAGGAAAGAGGGTCAGCAACCGAAAAGGAGATGCGGAACGCCAAGTTGAAAAGTTGGATAAGCGTAGTGTACGTGAGAGAATCGAGCACATAGAGGAGCAGCGCGAGGATTGGAAGTGCCGATTGACGGCGATCTATGCGTGGTGGCTTCTGTGAGAGACTGGCGCCTAGAAAGCGAAAGAGAGAGAGAGCCACACGCACCTGCACCCGCACCTGCACCCGCGCCCGCACACACACACACACACACACACACGCACACACACACACACACACAAACGACTGACGGTTGGTGGGCGCGATTCAATGAGTGATTGATTGGTTGATTGGCGGCAGCGGGCAACTAAGCGGCTGTGGGGTAAAGACGGACGGCAAGGTGGAGAATCGAAGGGCAGTTCCTCTGCCCGAGAAGGCGCGTAAGTGCGGACCTTTGCCGTGGTTGGCCAGCTGCCAAGGATTGGGCAATTGGAATTGGCATTGGACCAGTACATCACTCGACAGCTCGAGGAGGCTGGGCTTGTGTAGTAGCCGGCGAAGAAGCAGATCCACCGCGACGGCGGGGACAAAGGTTGCCAAGGACAGGCCACCATCTCTCAAGGAGTAATCGCGAGGAGAGCGAGGGCGGGGTGGGGGATTACTACGTAGCAGCTATTCCAAGAATCTGGTATGGAGTCTGGTCGTGTTCGTCGTCGGGTTCGGCTCTTAGTCACGGGGTGGAAGCAGTGCCAAGCCCTCTTGTCGCTTGCGGTGCTTGCCCTCGCTAATGGGGTCACAGGTACGGATTCCCTTCTTGTTCAGATTGGAGTTCCTCCTCCCTTTCCTTACCTATCCTTAACCCCGCCCAACCCATCCTTAACCCCGTCCAAATCGCGCAACCCATGTCGCAAACGCGCTTGACAGTATAAAAACCTTCACATGATGGCTGATGGGCATGTGACCGGTGACAGAGAGGCATGCGGCGAATCTACAATGGCCACCGACACGCATACACGAGCACTCCCACCAATACACTCGCACACGCACACACCCCACTCGGACACGCACACACCCCACTCGCACACACACACACACACACACACACA